TTTTTATCTCTTTCTTTTTTGGTTGTTTCATAATGTTCATTTCATTTTTGCTTTGACCTACCCCTTTCATACAATTTAGCGACATTGAAATGTTGATCACCTCGGCTGGAAACCCAAGATGGTAGAATGGCAACAAATGAAAGTCACCACATACAGAAACTATGTTGGGTATTATTATCCCTTGTTCGTGTGGCTTCAGAATGAAAGAGTTTAAAACCCGAACTATTGCAATTAACAGTCAATTCCTCACTGTCAGATGCTGCCTTGGTGACGCGGATCCACTCCTGGGACTATAAGTATCTACATCCGATATCAATGCAAGGTTCGGATACCTGCCCTGTTTGCTTTTTTACTGGTGAAATTCTTTTCTTTTCTTTTTGCTTCGTCATTGTTTGTTTTCTATTCCCCGTGCCATCTCTATAAGCCCTGATTGCTAAAAACGCCCGTAATGTCATTACTTCCACCCCCCAAATCGCCAATAATACTGCAACGCCATGAAGACCAGATACCAGCAGGCCCTCATGCGAACGGGGAATAGGCAGAATGTACAGGCCAGCGTACATTGTCCTGCTGCACTAGAGCCCCAGGTGGTAGTCAAAAGAGGAGGGGCAGAAGAACTGAATGTGAAGGAAGCCTCAACTTGTAGTCCCATTGCGACTAAGCCACAGTGGCCGTATTGACACCCGGCCGAGATGGTTCGCGCGCTGAGCGTGCCGGATCAATAGGTTCTTTAGGCAGAAGTTCAATTTGGCGGACCAAGAAGCTTTTCTCATCCGTAAACTGATCGTCATCAGTGCGATCCTCCAAGAATCTAGGCAAGAATTTCAGAAGTCGGTCTCGATTGTTGATCAGAATGCGTTGCACCGCCACGGACTTATTCGGATTTGCGACAAACACCTGGACCCATCCATTCCCCATCAGAACACCGCCACTCCAATTCACAAAATCACTAGTCACATACCTTAAACACGTGGAACCCCTCATATTGAACCATTTTCCGGTCGTCTCGTAATAGCTTCATGCACAGCTTGAGATTTTCCCCGCTCTCAACGTACGCCATCATCACATTATAGTTGGCACGGTCCAGCAGAATTTCCCCAAGCAGTTTGATGCTCTGTCGCTTGGTGACGTACGAGTCAGACTGAACGAGCACACCGTTGAATTTATCAAAGAAACTGTCAAAATTCGTTGCCAAATACCCTGTTACTAAGGATTTGTGTCGAGTCAAAATTTCCTAGAGTGATGGTTATCCCACTGCAACCAGAGTAGGCACGGAGAGAAAAGGGATACTTACTCGGAAAGTTGTGAAAGCATCCGCACTTAACTCGAAGGTCCCTCGATCTATCCAGTGGAAAAAATTCCAAAAAATCCCATTTCCGGTTTGCGGAACACCGGGCTGGACTTCGCTGAGTCTGATGGCCGGCTCCCCATCTTCTGACTGGTCATATAGGATGATCGCCGCAATGACGTCAAATTTCAACGCTTCCCTCAGGATGGTGCCACACGGCATTGCGCTGTGACTGTGCTCATAGCCCTTACATAGCTCGATAATGACCTCTGGTCGGTTGTGGACAATGTAGGAAATAACCGGCGGATCGGCCTGGCTTGGATTGCCGGGCTTGAAACGAAGAATATGCGAAAATATGGTTTGGGTGTCCTTTCGAGCTTCAAAGGGTAGAATATAGAGGCTCTCGCAAGTTCGTATAGCAAATCTTCATGGAGAGTAGCCTGAATCAACGCGTGCACTTGCTCGGGAGACACTTCGATTTCTGTCGGCAGCTTTCATTAGCGAGACCTAACCTTCTTTTCTGCAATCATTGCCGCATCCTCGGCCAAACTTACCTTGAGTTCCTTGAACAATCAATTTCATCTGGCTAAGTTGTTTAGCCAGCTCATCTTCCACCTATTCGGCATTGAGCGTCAGTGAGTTTAGGGTTATGTTCACAATCTGCTAGAGATAAACACAACGGGGTAGGATAGAGATATAATTAGCCAACCTTAGCAGCGGGAGGTGGAGATTCACGCAGCCTCACTAACTGATCTTTGATTGATCGGACAATATCAGATGGATGTCGGGATCGACCACGGTTGAAGAAGAAAGCCATTCTTAGAGCAGAAGGGCTAGCTCTCTGGATGAAAGTGAAGAATAGCAACCAACTAGCGCATGCAAGAAATGTAGAAAAACAGAATTGAGAGACCTAGCAATCAGGTCTTAATCTCAGAAGGCCGGGAGGTCTCTTGTTGTCAATGACGGATTTCTTGTGTTTACGGAGGAGAGACGCAGCAAGGCGGTGATAGGTGATAATTGTTGGCGGGGGAGCTGAAAGCCTCAGGCGCTTATCGCAGTTCTGGGCCCGGTCATGTGGATAAACAAAGTACCAAACTCTCCAGGCGGGGCAACCGATTTGCTTTTTTTTTTTTGATTTTTTGATTTTTTGATTTTTTTTTTTTTTGTTTTTTCTTTGTTGGGTAAAGAGGGCCTGGATTTCCTCTTTTAC